ACAAAAAATGAGATTTTGGAGGACATGTGTAATCTTTTAATGAAACATTGGAATAATTGAACCATTAAAGGAGTACAAAACAAAATATATTAAAATGTGGCAGATAGCTTCAAAGCATTTTACCATTTCCTGCACTGTTCCTGTTGTGGTTGTTGTTCTTTAAGTGAAGAATCAGGTGCAAAAAGATGAAGGGTGAGAAAAACACAAGCGTGGGGTGCACCCAGCTCAGAGAGGGTTGCAAGGAGACAAGCACGGCTCACCCCGATGTGTTTAGAGTCAGCTGGCTTTGCTTTTGCTGTCATTATGAAGCCAACTTAATACAAAGTCTGTCTGAAATAGAGGGAGCTTACGTTGTGAGAGGTATTTCTGCTTCGTGTGGCTTTGGTGGCATAACAAGTCAGCCCTGATAGTATTCACATTCTTACACGTTAAATAAAGCTGAAGATGAGTGTCCACTTGTCCCCCGGTATCTAGAAGTTAGTGTATTTGCAGCTCTGGTATACTGAGTTGTCCCCTTCACATCTACTTCATTTTCCTGATTTATTGTGTGGGGAAGATGGGTCCTTTTAGCCCATGCTTGCTATGCCAGGCAGCCTCCTCCTTGGAGATGCCCAAAAATAACCATCTATGGTATTAGGAGAAAAAGCTCATCTGTTTCCTTTGTTTCTGAACATCGGTCAGCGTGGTGTCACCTAGCCTTGTGAGGAACAGGGACCATGGCTTGGCTCCATAAGGACACAGGCTCCCTTGGGACCTCTGTTTGTCCCTTGGACGTCACCCTTGGTGCCACTTGCTGAGACCTCTTCTGGCTCCACATGCCTGGTTTTGCCTCTCCTCGCAGGAGCTGTTGTCTGGGGCGAGGACCAGCTGGGGCAAATCTGCTAGGCTATCCTTGTTGGTGGTTTCAGAAATACTCAAAATAAAAATACACAGAGATGCATAAAAAGAAAAGACACACTATTGCAGACAGGTTATATGGCAGTGCTGGCTGGGGGGGTTTCTGCCTGACACCGAAATCTCCTCTCTCTGCTCAATCCTCTCAACCGGTATTGAGTTGGCCCCGCTCATTAGAAATCGTATGGACATTTCACAGGTGGCATCTTAGATTTTCAAAATTTGGGTAGGTGTCAGGTAGTTTTTTAAAGCACTGACAGAAGGAAAGAAAGAATCCTTCGACTTGTTACTTTTTGATGTGTTCACTACATAACCCTATAATTATTTCAAAAACTACTTGTAAGTTCAATTGTCATATTCTCTCCTGTTTCTTTGCTTTACATCTTTAGAGAGTCTTTCACCAGATGAAACTATCTAATTTTTATTGCTGTTATTAAGTATCTCCTCTGTGATGTATTCATTTATTGTTGAACCAGTTGGTAAAAAATGAAGGTTTTTGTAAATGAAGTGTCTAATCTCATTTTGTATGCTTGCTTATTTTAATGAATTTATTGCATATATATAAAACAAAGTTAATGTTTTAATATTAAGGTGCAGCACATTATAAATGTTATGGCTTATGGCTGTGAAGACTGAGATAGTTACATCTCTAATAGTGGGTTTTGGAGATGGTTTTGGAAGATGACTGTTCCAAGTTCTTACTATTATGTCCTTGCCTTCACATCAGATGGCATTCAATGACAGGCGTAGGGACAGCACTGTACTTACTTTGCGCCTTATTCATCTAGTGTTTTTACTACTTTTCTGAAAGTGTAGCAACAGAAATGATAGCAAATGAAATCGTTTATGGAAGGAGTTATACTAGTTGAAAGAACTACATCGGATCTTTAAAAACAAAAATGAAAATGAGTAGATAAGACATGCTGTAGCTTTCTTTGTTCTGTGATTTAGATATGTATATTGTGATGTTTTCATCCTTTTCTAGTACCTCATTGCTGTAACAATTTAATTGGTCTCAATCTCCCTCCTTATTAGTAGAAGGATATAGCCCTATCTTTCATCTGTTCAAATGCAGCAAAGCTGGAAACAGGTATTTTGTTAAACGTAATTCCTTTTGGTAAATTCATTTCTGTCTGCATTGCCCTGTGACCTTTTCATCCCCAAGAACATTTCTGAAGGCTGCAGAATGTGAAAGTACAGATTGTGCCTTTGATGTTGAGTTAATTTTAAAAGGAAAACAATAATGAATGCCTTATCAAACAATAGAATATATCTTATTGATGATCGTTACCTGAGGAAGCTTTGTTAGGAGTAATTAAGTTAGAATTTGTATGTTTTCTTGAGAGAAATGTGCCCTGAACACTTCTGTTACCATTTTTTTATTATTATTACTTTCACAGTTTACATCCTGCCCCAGTAGACTAGGCTCTAAGATTTTTTCCCTCATGTCATTTTAATTTTTCCAACTGGTTCTGTTACGAAGGGTGTCGATGATGAGAGTGGTGCTATCGGAGATGGCAGCATCCGATGGAACGGCCATCCGCTGCCCCTCGCTCCGTGGGGCAGTGGCCGCTGCGAGGAAGCGTTTCCTCGCAGCCTCCCAGGTCTTTTCCCGTCTTCTGTTATGCCTTCTGCAGAAACCATCGGAACATGTTTTATGTAATACTCAACCCCCCTGTGGTTTATTTGAAGTGTCCTCTTAACAGGGTGGTAATTTAAGATTACTTAGAAACTTCAGTTGGTACAGAGCACAGCTTTGTGTTTGCTTAGCCAGGCTAATGGTGGGCGGCTCTTTACATCAGTGTGCTTAAATCAGCATGTTCCATGTCCTTAAAATTTCATGAGTTTCTGGACAGATCCAATTTTTCAACTACTTCTTAGCAGCTTGGGTCTTGTGTTCGTGAGAGAAGGCCTGCGCCTCTGCCGTCGGGCTGCAGTTCGGTTTGGTTTGCCTGCTTGAGTTGGTCCGCTGCCATGCGGCAGGCTGGATGCTTGGTGGGCTTGAGCTCTGCGATGTACTGTGCTCTTCTTGGGCTAAACAGAGATTGTCCCAAGTTGTATTGCAGGAGCTGCCCTGAGGTAGAGTGGTGGATTTTGCCTGGGAGTGATTTTAAAAGGTAAGGTCTATGGCTTTTGGGGAATTTCTTAGTTTGCACTGAGTTTGTTTAGATTTATTGACATATTTTAAAATGATTTTTTGTGGATTGATGGTATGGCTTTCAATACTTTCTCACAGAGGATTACTGAAATTAGAGATGGAGAAGACACATTGAATCATGTTGTCCTTCTGACTTCAAGTAAGAAGTTACTTGTCATGTGAAATGCATGAAGTTTTCTCAAAGAGCCTTCTGTGAACCCTACCTGTCGTATGAAATGAAGGGGAATACAGAAGCTTTCGTCCTAAGCAGTGGTTACTCACTGAGGTCCAGCTCCTGTCATCCTGTTGATATTGTGTAGTGGCTGTAGTGTAGCAAAAGTATGCGTGGAGTAAAGTGTTGCTCAGGGTTTTAAAGAATTCTGCTAGAAATGAGGAAGAAACCAACGAGAGATACAAGGGAATCCACACTGTGGACCCAAAACCAGAGTAGTATCTGTCGTAGTGGTGGTGTTACAGTGATTGGTACAATTTTTCTGATTAAAAAAATGTAAATTCAGTAATTTTTCATGCAACAGTGTTAACTAGCTAAGCATTTTTCTCCTCAACCTTTCAGTGAAAAACTTCTAGATGACTTGATTTCTGCCTGGTTTGCATCTTTTTCTGTTATCTGTGAGTGAATAAATATCACTTAGTCTTTTTTGTGGAAATTCCAGATTTCCAGAGAGTGTTAATAGATAGTTGCAGATTTTGGGAGTGGGACTCAAGTTAGAAATCAGATTTTAGAAAACAAGGTCAAGCACTGAGGGAGCTCTCTACCTATTTGATTTTCAAATACTGATACTTGCAGCAAAAGTTTGCAGCCTGCAGACAGAGTATGAGGCTTAGAAAGTATTTATTAAAAAGTTCAGGAAGTGTAAATTTGAAAAGGGGTGAGCTTTTGCTAATAGTTCACAAATAGAAGACAGGGCTAATTTTGCCGCAGATTGTTTCAGCTGCTAGGCGTAGTGCAGAGGTCTTCAGAAAGACAATGAATGAGTGAGGTTTCAGATTGAACAAATAGTAAATGAGGTGCCAGGCCACAGATTTAAAGATTGCTGGGTTTGTAAGAAGTGGAAGGGAAGAAGTTGGTGGTAGTCACAACTGGCTGCTAGAAATGCTTGCAGTTCAGTGCAACTGGTGCCGTCTTTGTGGCAATGACAAGCGGTGGGCCAAAGCCAGGGGTCGGTGGCAAGTGTTAGGTACTTCTGTTGCTTGTGCAAGTTACTTGGGATAAACTCTTACCACAGAAGAGGATGTCCAAATCCACTATTTCTGAAGATAAATATTCTCTCCTTCCTTTCACTGTTCTGAAACAGAGGGATCCGGTAAAATAAAGTCTTGCGAAGCAGCAGTTCGCTGTATATGTGCTTCTCTACATGTAAATAAATTTTACAAATGCGAATCAAAATTTAGTGAAACTGTATGGAACAGACAAGGAATATTTGTGTATTCTAAGTCAGACTGAAAATGAAAGACAGATACAAATCCATTTTGAAATTTTAATTTGAACTTGGGTGAAACACTCACATCAACATGTTATTCAATATTAAGGAAAAGCAGTTCTATTAATCACTGCTTAATGTATTTATTATAGGCATGTACTTATGTCTTGCCTTCCCCAGAACAAATGTTTTTCTTAGGTGTGCTTGAGGTATGTTTTCCCCATGTCAATTTATTTGCAGTTTGAGTTTTTTAATTTCTCTCCCATACAGCCTCATTAGTAGCCTCCTAGTGTATAAAACAAGTATTATTTTTTAAGGTTTTGAAAAGATCTCCCCTTGGGTTTTTTGCATTAGTATATATTATCATTATTGTCATCAGTTGTCCACATTGTCAGTGTGCTGAGGGAAGCAATTGATACTAATCTATGAAGTGTGTTTGAAGAAATGTCCGGTGATACAAGCATTAAACCGCTTACAGCATTGTCAGAGAAAATATTTTTATTTTTTAATTTCTTTTTTAGTGCATGCATCATGAATGAATCTGCCTCTAGTGGAAATGGTCAAGAGTTCGATGTCTTTAGTGCTATGGACTGGAAGGATGGCATAGGTACTTTGCCAGGAAGTGACCTAAAGGTAAGATATGTAATTTCTTTGATAAGCGAAATAAGAATGTTAAATGCCAAAAGAATGCATTTCACAAGCTGGTGTGTAGGTATCTGCTTTTATGAATAAAACATGAATCTACAGCTCGTGAGTTAAGAGACTGTAGCCTGTTAGCTTTTAGCTCTGGAGTTTCTTGATTCAGTTTCTGGTGCTGGCACAGACAGCCGTCATCCCTGTAGGAAGGCATAAATTAGCACTGCCTCACTATGCAGACAGAAGTAATCAAGTGCACAAAATCCAAAAGAAATGTCAAAAGTTAAGTGCGAAAATTCAGTCCACTTTAGAGCATTATATTACCGTATTGCTAAGAGTCTCTACACTGTCATTGACTCTCATGGTCTCATGTTCTTTGTTCTTTTTATTTCTAAAAATAGTTTATTTTTGTTGTGCTTTTGTCATGTGGGTGCCTGGAAAAATGAATAAAATGAGTGCTTCTGAGCTTGATATAGTTTAGAAATTTGAATAATACTGGAATAGTGCTTTTAATTACATTTTTCATACTGGTTGTATTTACAGAAGTAAATTATAACAATTTTATTTTGTTTTCAAAATATTTTATGTATTTTTTTATCTGCTACTTTTTACTATGTCGGAAGATGTACTCTGTTGCATTAGCTGAAAATACGGTTTTGGTATTAGAGACTTTCTTGCACTTCCTTCCTGTTGATCATAGTCAGTATTTTCATATCATTCCATTTAGACTAACATTGATGACGTTTTCTTATAGTTTATTTTTTAAGAGGAATCTCACAAGAAAATGTGTGTTTTTTAAAAGAACTTTAGCTCCCTTGGTGCCTGATACAATTTCTATTGTTGAAGTAAAGAGTCAAAAAATGTTTGAAATTCAGGACATACATGTTGTGGGTGCGGTTTTATGTTGTTTGTTTGGCTTGGTGGGTTTTTTTTTAATCACAGAACCACAGAATAGATTCACAGAATAATTTTCTTTGGAAAGGACCTCAGGACACCGCCTCTGACCACCCCAGACCTCAGGCCCACTTTGATGAAGTTGCTCAGTGCCTTGTCCAGTACAGATTTGGTTATCTCCAGGGTTGGAGATGCCACAGTCTCTCTGGGCAACTTGTTCCAGCATTTGACCACCCTCATAGTGATTTTTTCCTTTTATGGATACTTTGTTGGAATTTCTTCTTTTGCAGCTTATGCCTATCGCCTCTTGCTCTTTTACTGTGCACACCTGAGAAGAACCTGGCTCCATCCCCTCTGTATCCTCCCATTAACTACTGGAAGACAGCAGTAAAGTCTCTCCTCCTTGTTCTTAAGACCAAGTTCTCTGTTGTTCTCTGAAGCAAGCAAGTTTGCTCAGCTTCTTCTTGCATGCCATCTGCTACAGCCCCTACTTGTTTTGGTGGACAGCCGCTGGACTTGCTGCGGTACGTCAGTGTCGTTCTTGCACCGGACGTAGTAGCCTGCATGTGGTCTCACCAGCGTCAAACAGAGGGGAATAATCAGTTCCCACAACCTGGTGGCTACCCCTTGCTAAAGCAGCCCCACATGCTTGTGGCTGCTTTGCTGCCAGGGCACTTTGCTGATTCGTGTTCAACTCGTAGGTCGTCTTCTGCAAAGCTGCTTTCAGATAGTCAGCCCCCAGGCTGTTCTGGTGCAGACAGATGTTCTACCCTAGGTGCAGGACCTCCTTTGCGTGTGCTTTTGTAGACCTTCGTGAGACCTTGTTAGCCCCTTTCTTCAGCATGTCAAGGTCTTTCTGAATAGCAGCCCTGCCCTGCGCTGTGTCAGCCAGTCCTTCCCATTTGGTAATTTGCTTTTGCTTCCTGTACGCATACAGAAGCCTTTCTTGTTGCCTTTGCTAGTTTCTTCTCCAGCTGAGCCTTGGGTTTCCCAATTCCATCACTGTACACTACAGCCATATCACTATATACCTTCTCTACATAATGTTTCCCCTGTTTCACCTTCTGTGTACTTCCTTTTCCTACGTAGTCCCTAGTTCATTCGTGTTGGCCTTCATCCACATTTGTGCAACTTCTTGCACCTTGGCATGCATCGTTCTCCTGGTGTGAAGTCCCTGGAGAGATACACAGATTTCCTGGGCCTGTTTATCCATTAAAGCAGTCTCCTGTACGATCCTGCCAAGCAGATCTCTGAACAAGCCAAAATCTGCCTCTCCTGAAGTCCGGTGCTGCTATTTCAGTATTTGTTTTGCACACTTCTTGCAGGATTTCAGACTTCACCATCTCATGGTCGCTGCTGCCAAGGCTAGCATCAGCTTCCACATCCCCGACCAGTTCTGTATTTTTCAAAAAAGTCCAGGCTTTTAAAATTCCTTTCTATTTTAATAAGCAACGTTGTGTGAAAAGCAAAAATAATACTGAAATGTTTGAGGAATTCAAAAGGGAACAATGCAGGAAAACATAATAATCTCATATATGTGCTTTGTTCTGGTCTGGTTACGCTGTGTCAAAAGAAACAAAACCAAAGCAAGGGTTGGGTCATTAATTAGTAGAGGAATGGGAAAATTTCCATACAAAGGAGCGGAAGGGACTGGCAGGTGTAGCTGAGGGTAACTTCAAGAAATCATATAAGAGGATTCTTAACTACGTCCTGTTCAAGAAAGCACGAGATTCATTTTAAGGTTGCTCTTCTGTTTGGTTTTTGGTTATTTTATTTTATTTTATTTTATTTTATTTTATTTGGAAACAAACAGGTGTTTGATTTTTGGACAGAGATTCTTTCTTTGGTCCAGGCATTAGGGCAGACACAGTCACAGGTGCGATGGTAATGTACCCAGAATGATGAAAGATACAGAGAGAATTGTCCAGGCAGCTCATTGTGGTGTTTGGTTTTTTTATACAAAAGCAAGGGGTTACTGGATGAAATTGAAATGGAGCCGTTCAAATACTGACGGAAGGAAGAATGTTGTCTAACAATGCAGAATTAGCCTGGGGAGCTCACTGGACCAGGGAGCATCAAGACTTGGTGAAAGACTAGGCGTTTATGTAGATACCAAAACAATCTGAGCTGTTAGAATAGTAAGGATTTTTAAGCTTTTGAGATAACTGTAACAACTCATTTTTCAGGGCTGCTTCTAAATACTGAAGGTTAGAAGGGTCCCTAATGCCTTGAAATTGTAAATGTGATCGTGGAAGATAATGTTATGCTCTTGGTGGAGTTCTCAGAATAGGGTTAATGTGGATGGTTTACCTGAACTGTCCTGATAGCAGAATATTTTAATACTGTGTCACTAACCTAAAGAAAATGGCCTTACATAGCAGTTACTTCTTGTAAGCTTGCATGTGCCCTTCAAAAATTATAATAGACTGCTTCCACTAAAGATATCAAACCATTGCCATGTATTTACATTGAAATGCAATTGAAAAATTCAGGGAAAACAGTGTAGTTAGCGAGATGCACAAATCCAAAGATGCCATTTTTACAGCTTGGTAATAGATCAGAGTGCCTGTTTTTTAATAGCAAACAATAAGCAATAGCTGAACTATTCATTGCAGACAATGTATTGCTTACATTCTTACATTTAGTCTTTTGTCTTCATAAGATGTTGGTGAAAATTGTTTTTGAACACTCAGATTTAGTAACTGTATTATATGAGCATGTTTTAAGTTAAACGTAAACCTAAATGTTGAAATACTGCTTTTTAATATAGAAGTTTTGGGGAGTTAAGTACTTGACAACCTTATTTTTAGTCAGGCAAATCATACAGCATTTGCTTGTCTTTACTGCTTGCGTCATGAAGTTTCATGCTGATTTTTACATACACACTTTTTAAGAAATCTCTTTTTCTTGTATGCTATATTAATATCCAGCCTCCTAAGGTTATCAGGCAAGCACATCTGAGCAACCATTCCTTTTAAGAACCCCTTCATTTTTGTGAATATAAGTTCCTCTATGAATAGAAGCTGGTGAAAAACTGTTGTAAGTAGTGTAAATGCTTGAAACATTTACAAATGACTTTCCTCAATACTTTCTTATCATTGCTTAAATTCTAACTTTTCTTACTCTATAGAAGAACAACTAAATCAGAAACAGGAAATGGCATGCTGAGGTAGGCTGCACCAGGGGGTACTCACTTCCCAGTCAATCAAAACAAGGGAGCCGGGTCAGATACCACGTCGCAGTTCTGAGCCACGCCATGGTCTCTTATATCTACACCTGCTTCCACATCAGTAAAATGCTGAAAATGTTCTTTTCCTATGATTTTGTGCAGTGTTAATTGTTAGAGTTTTGTCTCCTGTAGTTGGAGAAGGCTGTGGAAATATATTCTCATACAGATGGCTATAGGCTGTTCAGAAGGGACAGGCAAGGAAGGAGGGGTGGAGGTGTTGCCCTCTACATCAAGAAACAGATAGAGTGTGAAGAGCTGTCTCAGAGGAATAGCCACAAGCGGGTTGAAAGCTTATGGGTAAGAATCAGAGACGGAGGCAACACAGGGTAGCTTGTGGTTGGTGTCTACTACACGGCACTCGACAAAGGGGAGTATATTGATGAAGACTCCTCACTCCAGCTACAGGAGGCATTGTGCTCGCAGGCTCTTGTCCTTCTGGGAGACTTCAACCACCCCAACATCACTGGAAAAGTAGCATGGCAAGCTGTAGGCAATCCAGGAAACTCCTGGAATGCATGGAGGATAACCTCTTAAGCAAGATAGTAGACAGCCCTACCAGAGGGGATGCTATACTGGACCTGTTGGTCACCAAAGCAAGTGAGCTAATTGGTGACGTCAAAACTGGAGGCAGCCTAGGCTGCAGCGACCATGCACTGACGGAGTTCACAGTCCTGAGGGAGATGGGGCAGGCGAAGAGTAAAGTCAGGACCCTGAATTTTAGGAAAGCAAAATTCCAGCTCGTCAAGGACTTAGTCAATAGGACCACCTAGGAAACTGCCCTCAGGGATAAGGGAGCAGACCAGAGCTGGCAGATCTTTAAGGACACTTTCCACAGAGTGCAAGAGCTCTTGATCCACAGGCGTCACAGATCAGG